GTTCCGGTACGAAGTAGTTGAATTCTTCTAAGTAGGCCGTTAGCGCATCAGAAATAATAGCTTCCATGACCTTTGAAAGAACAGGTAGTAAGATTACGGGTCGATAGTTGTATGGATTGGAACGACTATAATCCCCCTTGTGAATAGGAGCAATCATCACGTGTTTCCACATGTCAGGCATGTACATTTCGTCAAAACAGTGTTGGAAGAATCGAGCCAAAGGCTCAGTTAAATTCTGTCCTACCGCGGCTAACGATTTCGTGTGGATATTATCAACTCAAGGAGAGCTGCGCTTGCGAATATTTAACAGCTTTTTTGGTGTAGTTTCTGCCGTGAAGGATATGTGAGTGAGTTTTTGATGTGAAACAACCATTGTCATAAGGTTATGTGGTCTGTGATCGCATTGAAATGTTGCGGCGTATGGTAGACGCAGAAAATTATCCGCATCCTTCGGTGTCCATGTGGTTCCGTGCGCTGTTTGAATAGGAGGAATTCCCCGTCTCAGCTTACGTAGACTGTTGACGTTTTGATACAGAAGCTTGTGATTTGACGCCATACGCACCACCAACTTCTGTTGGTACGTCATTCTATCCTAGCAAACCTGCTGAATACAGTAGTTACGTTGGGTCGCATAGGTCATCCATTTCTCAGTGCTCGGGGAGAGTTTGTAGATATGCCAGGCTGAGTTTCGCACCATTATACACTTGCTTGTCCTGCTTTGCACAAGCGAGACCACCTTTCTCGGGTTAAGGTCTTGGTCGCTGACGCCTCGGCAACCAGAGAGTTAAACTGGCTGACGAAAGGTTCCCATGCACTGGCTGGTGCCTCTTCTGCCAGGAATATCCAGTTGACTGTCACACCTAGTCGAGCTAATATATCGTAGCGCATATTCGTTTTTGTTGCGTCGACAGTTTTCACGGGATATTCTGCTTAGCAAATGTATTCGAAGAGTAGGACTACGTGATCACTGCGGCCCAAAGGGACGTCGACGATCACGCGCTTGGCCATCAGTTGTTCGTTGGTGCATATCTGAGCCAGTATGGACGGCTTATCTTTTTCTCGGAGTCGGGTGGGAGTATTAATGTGGCCATACAGCGCATAACTGGAGAGAAACTCTTGTACTTCGGCCTTTAACTGTTCTCCGGAAGCTGCTTGAGATTTCAGAACGTGGATGTTGAAATGGCCAGTGATGAGAAGGTGTCTGTAAGTTGTGTTTATCACCCTCCCTATTGCGGATGCCAGGTAGAAGACCATCTCGGACGAGGATGAAGGAGAGCGGCAAATGACCGCAACCAAGCAGGCGACGTCGTCTTTTAAACGTAGACGACACCAAAGGGAATCCCAAACCGTGCTGACCGGATCCTATATGGACTCACACTGGAGGCCTTAGGCGTTGGTGTGCATACAAGGAAGCTTCTCGGTTGTCAAAAAGTGTTGACTAGGAGCACACGAATGATGTAGATTTGTGCCGACCGATGAGAGGCCGGCAGCTAATCGCTTTTTTGGTAATTTGCCAAATCTCTATATGAATGCAATCTGTTTTTGGTCTCACTTGCATCTGCGGTATGTAGTCCATCGGCAGACTTCTCGATAGCTACGGGTCATAGCGCACATGTTTCTGAATCGCTGTTGTGGTTATATTAAGTCGCGGGTGGTGTTGTTTCCGCGAGAACAGCGAGTGGCCGCGGCTCTCTAACGGCTGTCTGCAGTCGTAGTTCCGAAGGAAGTGTGTTGCTTAGTAACTGCCAGCGACGGTTTAAGTTCGCGGCCATCTGCTGTGGCTGCACCGTTAGTTTCAGTATGCTCGCGCCACCACCTCTGTAGTTTGGCGACAAGGGTAACCGTTTAATAGAGTGAAGTATGACGTCCCCCGCACAGACAGCTTCACGCATGCAGTGCCGTTTTACCAGGTCATGAACGTCAGCTCCTTCGTTGCTGCTTGTCAGTAGCTCGGGCACTCCATGAATGAAAATAATGCTTTTGCTACTCTCCGTGTGGTGGTCGTTTGAATTATTTTTGTCCCCCTGGCGGTCGCGCCATGGAACATCCGGAAATATGCGTATCCCACTGTTTCCAAGCCGCAGGCGGTATTCCAGCAATAGCACCGTCTCGACATCATCTGTTGACCCCAATGTTACTCGCATTACCCGGGACTCATCATAATGACTCGAGATTGGATGTCTAGTGATGCGCATTAAATCAGTCGACCTCGCTTGAACTCAGATTCCAACACAAAGGAAATTCCACTGGTTTAAATGAGTTAGCTGTTTACCCTTTAAGGAGTATGTCTTGGACACAGGACCATTGATGCATCTGTTTCAAAGCACCGTAATTCCGCCTGGTCATTGGTGATGTTGGAAGCACAGTTATCGAGGGCTTTAGTGGCGTCTCTGCAGGTTGCACCTGGTCCGTTGTCCGTTCTGCTACTGTATTGAGTGAGGCTACTGTGGTCGCACTTAGATTATACCGAGAAGCAACGGTTTCATCGGTGGGTCAGTCTTTAGTGCCCTTCGGATTTCGTTGGTCAATCGGAAGTGTGAGTGTTACCGACGTTGCAGCATTCGATACATTGGATAAGAGGATGTGGGCACAGTGGCGCTAGACGTGTTTCTATCGGTCGCGACGACTACTTGGTTCGTGGTTCCCATGGTTTCTAGCACTGCGTAGCCGTGTGAAATCGTGTCCCGTTTCCTTGGATTCGTGGTAGCAATTGAGGAAAATGGATGAAGTGCAAGATGTGCTATGGTCGCCTCGAGCGAAACAATTTTTGCATTCAAACGATGTGCAGTTTCGGCGACTAGGCGGTCGTAGTTTTGTGTTAACGCTAGTACGTATTTTACTAGTGGAACTGTCATTCACTTCGGACAGAATTGAAGTGAGCCCGGCGTGTTGTATTTCTGTATGTCGGTTCCACAGACCTTGATGCACTTCGAATGGTACCGGTCAATGCAATTTGTACAAGTCAACCCTACTTTTACTAGCTAGCACAAGTTTGATTAGCAGGAAATACTTCGTTTCAGGTTACCGGTGCGGTGGTTATGCTGGCCGATTATTGTAGAACAAATCCAAGATGGCTGACACAGAAGGCAGTCGAACCGCTCAGCAAGATATCCGAAGTCTGCCAGAGAATATGCACCAAATTTTTACAGTTTGAAATATACCCCAAAAGGAAAATGTTAGTGCACAGTTCACACAGAAAAAACACGTATAACACAGTACGCTCGAAGGAAAAGTAGAATCCAGCGCGGTAATGATGGCGAATTACTCACGCCCACGCCAGTCAGCCTGGTGTGTTGGACTTGAATATTCATGTCTGGAACAAATACCCACGTTACAGAACTGTATTAAATGTATCCGAATTTTTCGATATAGAAGATGGCGTGACTCTAGGCGCGCACATCGCAGTATGATACTGCGATAAAAGCAGTGGAGTTGCACCGTGCAAACATTCCAGTAATCTTTTCTGCAAGATTTGTGAACTATCGGTTAGTTTATTTGATTGGAAAAGTTTCGCTTTTGACACAAAAGCTTCGCCAAGCCAGGTGGATTGGTATATAGTTGGTGCAGCATTTTACAGCGGATGAGAGATATAAGCGTGACAACTGTGATATGGGTAAGGAGACTAGTACAGACACAGATAGAATAGTCATCTCAAGTAGTCAGTCAGAATGGGGCTACTTGTCGGGTTTTCACTGTCCAATTAGCCCCATTCTGACTGACTACATGCGATGACTATTCCATCTGTGTCTGTACTATATCTCGGCACCATACCTCGGTTGTCACGATTATTTCTCTCACCCGCCGTAAAATGTCGCACAAGCTATGTGCAAATTCACCTGGCCTGGCGAAGCTTTTGTGTCAAAAGCGAAACTTTTCCAATCAAATAAAATAACCTATTGTTCACAAATCTTTCATCAAGCATGACTTCTCGATCGGTTGCAAGTATATTCCAAGTTGAGTACTGTATTATCTGTGGGACAACCATATTGCATGCAGCTACACGTCAGCCATTGTAAGCCACTGAAGCAGCGCTATATTAAGAACAATGATAATTCCAGAACCTAGGGACGTGATCATAAAGAACAACTAGACATGAGCCGAACATCTCTGACAGACACTGCACATATTCTTTGCAACTTCGAGATAATGAAACAGAAGCATGACCAAAGCGGAAAGGGTTTGTGTAGCGATTCCAAGTGAACTCCATCGTAGCCTTATTTTTATGAAGGGAAGATATTGTACGGACGACAAATGCGACTACGCTTACCTTAGAGTTTGTAGACACAGACTTTCCTTTTGTTGTGTTCATTCTTCGACATTTGTTTCGACCCTTTGTTCTGATTGTCACAATGTCTGTTATGTCTGATGTTACGGCATAGTTTCTCCATGACCTTAAGGTTGTCAATAATTTCCCGTTGGTCGCAGCTGATTTATTCTCAAACTGCTCGATTCGTATAGGCTTTGCTCGGTCGAGCGTTCTCAATGCTCCTGTTAATTCTGACAGCTATGACTAAGCGCAGCTTTTGTTGCGAACATTTCTGCTCATCTTCGTCTCATTGTTCTCGTCAACGAAGTGGGTGGGAGCAGCCGCAGGTTTATGCAGCAACCTACTTACCCGGAGGAGACAAGACACTGGTATGACAATCTGAAGCGCATCTACCTAACCTCTAACGTGCAGGGGCTTGGGAAGTTATAGTAGTTCATAGAACTATTCATAAGCTTTGATATCTAAATCCCTGACCCACTAGAAGCATTATGTAAAACAAAGCACAGCTATCCGGATAAAGCGGACTAAAATTATTCAAGAAATTATACCAGGAAACCGGTGATAACCTTCTTCGTCAGTATTCCAGCGCAGAGAAAGTGTTGAGTTTAACCGGTGCTAAATGCTTAGCTTTCTACCAAAGTCAGGATTATAACAAACAGTAAGTTCCATTACTTTCGGAAAATAAACTACCAAACAAATCTATAAAACAACCTTCAAAGCGAAAGCAGCTAACTTTGCAAGTTCGTAGTGTTCCCGTGGCCAAGACCATGTTTCGATTAGGTGGTTTGAGGATAGGGAACAAATCAGCGGATGAAATGGATTCCAAAATGATCCCAATCTCTTCTACAGTTCTTTGTACGATGGAATGAATGACAGAAAAGTGATGCAATGCGTCTTTGGCACGTGTTACATAGTCCATTATACTCAAGCTCTTCCAGTTCATAGTGTCCCAAGCCGGCCTCAAGATGCTGTTTAATTGTAATAAATGTCGATCCAATAAAGTCCTCTCCATTGTCGAAAGGGATGAGACAAGGTAACGAAAATGGTTTGCTATCGAGGTCAGCTCTTCTGTCGCCACCGAATACTCTTTTGCCTGCAAAATAAATGGAGCAGGTAACGGAACCGTGTTTGAGTTTCTTCAACTAACGTCATTCATGTAACGACATGTGACACGAGAGGAATCACACATCGCGTTGGGTGGCACATTGGCTCGTTTAATCACGGTGGTATCGCAATACAAGTAACTTGAAATGCATTCGTACCAGCTTACGAATTAGGAAAGGAACAGATGAGGAAAGCCTTACATTTTAAGCAGGAGAAAGCTAGTTCACTGGGACACGGGCACTACAGTGTGATTATCAATCCTGTGTTCCCGGAAGGCAACATTTATTGATTAATGGTAATCAAATGATACCACAAGTCACTCACTTCTCGAGACATCGGTGATTTGGTGGCAAACCAGCCATCATATGGCTTTGAGCTACGTAACAAAGGAAATCTTCTAAGTAGCTGAAAAACTGAGACCAATCACTTATTCGTAGTATAAATGATAAGCGAAAGCAACGTAGAAAGATGTCATCGCTCTTCTTTGGACTGCTCACATGCAACGATATATATATATATATATATATATATATATATATATATATATATATATCGGTTCAGTGGTTTTGATTACATATTCTTTTTCGATTGCGACACATTTTCGTTAGTTATCGGCCTATCATGTTTTCCCAGTACTTCACAATCGGTTACATCCTCGCTTTGGTTGTTTCGGCAGACAGAATTGAATGTAGTACCCGGAGTCCATTGCATACGGGTCAACAACTACACTATTAACTCACAAGTATCCATTATGTACGGCTGCAGTGAATAAGGTAACAAAAGTTAGATTTCAGGTAAGTCAGAGTGCAAAATAAGAATGTGTTTTCAAACACAAGAGGCCTTTGTAGTTGACGTGCTAACAATGTACTTCCAGTGTTTTATAGCTAACTTAGTTGGGCTTACCGTTTGGAAGCTACACTTATCACACTGTGCGACTACCTGTGTATGTATCCCCTTCGGTCCATCACGCTATAATGGGCGGTGTCCTGAGGTCCCTACAGGGTTACTCTTACGGTAGGGATCAAGGGGCAGCGGTCGGGCTAACTCAGCCTTCGGGCATTCCAGGTTCGAGTTGGAAATCGGTTGGCACCGATAATTGCCTAACAAGATCTCGAAGCAACTTTGAAGTTAAGATTTCCTGTAAAAGGCTTCGAATGAGGACGCAGACCGTTCTGCTGCTTAGATTAGGGCGCTATATGTACGCAGCTTGAGCCAAGTGAAAGCTTATAGCTAAAGGTCGCCGTCTTCCAATGGCTGCAGCTGTGTGAGACAGGGATGTTGGCTGTCACCTATCCTTTCTAACTTTGGCATCGACGAAGTCATGGAAGCTGTGTTCAATGGACACGAGTTAGAAGGTGTGCAGCTGCTCCCACTTGATCGACTTCTTGAGTTGGAGTATGCTGAGGTCATTGCTCTCATCTGCGACATCTCACAAATCTTCAAACAACATGGGACAGGTTAGCACTCACCATCAGCCGTTTCCGTCTGTGTTTTGCACCCGACTGATGCAAATTCTTTCCCCAGGATTGGGAAGGATCGCCTCCTGCATTGATTCTTGTTGGGAACCAGCTAGAAGTCGCTCGAAAATTTAACTTCTGCTCAGCGCTATCAGCATATGTGACATAGATGACATCACGAGTCACATAGAAAAAGCTCGATGCGTTTTGTCAGTTTTCGACATTTTGAGGCGGCTGCGCGACATCAGTTCACCCTAAATGCCAGGGTCTACTATGCAACCGTCCATTCAACTGTCCTGCACAGTCACGAAACAGTCCATCATCTTGACAGACTTAAAAAGACTTGTTATAATCAACCACCGGTCCCTTCGCAGTTTAGCTCACATCTGGCAGAAACACCCCATAAACAAAAAGCGTGTTCGCCGTCTTGTTTATGGTGAAGGGAATAAGAGGTGAAGCGCCTAGCACAACAGATTCACTCACGAGGCAACGATGGCTAGGCTATGTAATGTGAATGCCAGTACACAGACTCCCGGGAAATCTGCTCTTAGTGTGATCGAGGTTTGGATGGAAGAAGGTCGGAGGCCATGTGGTAGTGTTTTCAGGAAGAATGAAGGATCTCACTCCGAACCTGGCCACGATTGGTGCCTTCCGAGTTCCGGGTCGGTTTCCGAGAGACGATGAACATGTTTGGTGACATGATTTTGAGTGCATCTCAGTGAAGCTTCTGTTGTGAGTATTTTTCTCTCACCGCGTTCCATGTAGCCCACGCATCCAATCACGAGCTCATTGTTAATGCAAAAATTACAAAGGGCATAGTAACTAACGTTGCAGCGAACATCTTTAGCCCCAAGAACGGATTATTTTCGTTGAATGCTATGTCATCCATAGCTGTTGTCACTGGAATTAGTGTCCTTGGGGGCAACCCCGTTGTCTGCAGCGTTCATAACTTGTATGGTAGCGGAAGATAAGACGCACTATATAGTGGTTAGCTTGCAAATTATGACAGTATTCCGCTGTCCCCCGTAGTTCAGTGGCGAAACTTGCCGGCTGGCGGTTCAAGCCACTAGTGGCCATGCCTTTGAGTCCTGATGCGTCAGATATTTGCGCACTACTGACCAGACACAACAGGTAAAAACTGCATTCTAGCTTTTCTCCGGCCATGTGAAGGACTGGCTGATTTGGAATACGCTGCGATAAAACTATTACTCACATCAAAATCCCCTACTCATGAGTAGATCATAGTAATAGTTATGTTATGCCTCCTTTTTCATTTTGCTGTGACAGTTTTGATATTGCAGTTATACGGTCGGCAGTTCAAATGTCGGCTCATGTTCGGCAATATACAGTATTTGTGTTGCAGCAAAATAGCTGGGGCTTTTTCACCCTCAGCTTCTGTGTAGAATGATGCTTTTGATGCAGGAAAATTGAGTGCACCGCTCAACGCTGTTAGTACACGCACCACGCTTCGATGGCTGGGACACGTGTGGCGCATGTAAGCACACCGACTCCAGCGATATGTTGTTTGCGCTACCGGAGCCTAGATGGAAGAAGAGGAGAGGAAGCCAACAATGAGTTGATCAAAAGGAATGAGGGCCCTCAGTTCGAAGTTGGCCACGTTTGGAGCCTCTCGACTTCCTGGTTGGAGTCCGAAGGATGATAAACACTGAATAAGTTGCGTCAGCTTTGGCACATGATACGAACGCCTGGTCACTATTTATCGAAGACAGTCTTCTTTTGTTTGTCGGATGTAGAATGGTGCGAGGCTCGTAGTCAAGTCCACAATGCGCTTTATGCACCCGGGAAGAGTGGATATTCAGTCAAAATGCGCACGCCAATGACACAGGTGGAACCAATGAAAAGTATGGCAGACGGATACGAGGCGTCAGCAAGTTGAAAACGTGACACAACTGATATCATCGAATCGTTTGGGCCATCGGTTCTTGTGTGTCTAAGTTTTGATCCCTCAAAAATGTGGTAAAGAGAGAACAAGTGACGTACCATAAGTCCGTGTGCGAGCACGACTATCTTGGTACTTTTGCCTGGCTGAGTGTTATGTCGGAGGAAATTGAGGTATATTCCGACAGTGGGTTATGGAGGGGGTGGCTGGCATCCGTGAGTATTTTAGACGCCACTTTTTCTCAGTAGTGAAAGTGATTGCATATAATGATGTCGGTGAACTCCATCGTTGGAATGCTGTTACGTCGAGCACGATGTTTCAGTGACCTGTTGATCACTTTGAAAAGCCCGTTTAAAAGTAGAGAAAAGATCCTAGTTGAGCAATACTTCTAGTGCTGCAGTACGCAAGCGGTGCTTAACCGTAATAACAAATGGTGAAGCACGGATGAGGAGCTAAATCGGAAGACATAGAACGATAGTCTCCTGCCTTTAGCGAAAGTTTCGTTCAGGTAGTAGGACTAGGTGAGATCCCGAACCAGTGTAACTCCTAGCTATCGCACTGCCATGCACGAGTTCAGACTGACACTATCAATACAAAGATGAGGATGTGCTTGAGTTGCTGATAACCATTTTCCTTGGATAGCAAGAAAAGAACATCACCCTACTTTAATGCGTTCAGTGAAAGAGCGGGGTTTGAATCACACTGAGAGGTTGTCCAAGAAATACAGTAATCTGATCGATGAGTTTGTGGTCTGATTGTGTACACCATAGATCACGTTATCAGGAGAGTTTAGCAGGATGGATTTCTTCGGAACGGGAAATGAGCTAATGTAAGTGGAACATAGGGATATAGTTCTCGGCGCGGTCCTCAAATTTGGCCGTGCTCTACGATTCCTCTCTTTGGAGCTTAACAACACACATGTTCTCACATCTAACATTTTGCACCGTTGGTTCTGGTTTTAATTCATCAATCGTCCCACGATGCAAATATACTCAGGCGACACTTTAAAATCGCTACGTTTTTCTACGCTCGTAACTAGTGCACTTTCGAACGGTTGTGTTATCGGAAACAAATTGAAACGAATTCATAAGAAGTGTAACAATTCTGTTAGAAAACATCGTTCTGGATGGAGAGTTGCTCTTCGAAGGAAAAAGTTGAGAGATCTGAGCGTCCCAGTATTGCTTAGCACTAACATCCGCTCGCTCATGGGGAAATTAAATGAACTATCAAACATTGTTCTCCCAAAAGAATTTTCGCAGCTTGGAACCCTTATGTTGCAAGAAACCTGGCTACATGAAGAAGTGGATGATGCAGTCATTTCCGTTGCAGAATTTATTTGCCATCGGGTTACCCGTCCATGCTCGTACCGAAATCGAGGTGGTGGAATACTTATTTGCGCTAATCCGTCTTGGTGTACTGCAACAAAACGTACTTCTTGCTTCTCCTCAAAGTTTATCAAGTGTTTAGTCATACAAGGTAAGCCAGTGTGTTGGAATGGCTACCGCTCAATATTGTTGGCTAACATCTACATATCTCCCACCTGTTCCAAGCCTGAAACTGAGAATTTCTATGATGAATTTACTGCAGCTGTCATAGGACCCATCGATCGTTCTCTGTGCATCTTCGGCGGAG